GTGACTGGCTCTTAGATTTCCTCACTGGCAGACCGCAATCTGTCAGGATTGGAAATAAAAGCTCAAGCACCATCCTCACCAACATCGGCACCCCACAGGGATGTGTTTTAAGCCCCATCCTCTACACTTTATTCACACATGACTGTGTCGCATCTCAAAAGAACAACACCATCATTAAGTTTGCGGATGACACTGCAGTGATAGGCTGTATCACCGGGGGAGATGAGGCAGCTTATAGGAAGGAGGTGGCCAGTCTAGTGACATGGTGTGAAAACAACAACCTCACCCTCAACACAGACAAGACCAAGGAGATGATAGTGGACATGAGGAAGGAAAGGAGAACTCATCAGCCACTGTTTATTCGCAAACTTGAAGTGGAAAGAGTGAGCAGTTTTAAATACCTGGGGGTCCACATCAGTGAGGACCTCACCTGGACACTGAACACCACCCAGCTGGTCAAGAAAGCACAACAGCGGCTGTACTTCTTAAGGAAGCTAAGGAAACTCGGTCTGTCATCTAAGATCCTCAGCAACTTTTACAGCTGTGTGGTTGAGAGCATCCTGACCAACTGCATTACTGTATGGTATGGAAATGCTACTGTAAAGGACCGCAAACGTCTGCAGAGAGTGGTGAGGACTGCAGAGAAGATCATTAGGTCCCCACTGCCTTCTCTGCAGACTATCTACCATCACAGAGTCCACAAGAGAACTGCCTCCATCCTGAAAGACCCCACTCACCCACAACATGGTTTATTCACACTCCTACCCTCAGGGCGGAGGTATAGGAGTGTGAGATGCAGGACTGCCAGACTCAAGAACTCTTTCTTCCCATCAGCCATCAGACTTCTAAACAGATAACCAACGCACATAACAGTCTATTTTTCTGCTCAGTACAACACTACATACTCCATCCCATTTTGCACTATTTTATTCTTTATTCTTTTTTTTTGCACATAATCCAATTGCACTAGGCACTTTTTTGCATAATAAGCACAATAAAAAAAAAAAAACAAAACAAAACAAAAAACACTGTACACTGTTTACATCTGTTTCATTACTCAAATCAGGTTTACATATTGTTTAATTTCATAGATATTTATATACTTATATTTTACATTCAATCTTCGGTCACTTCTGTGTATATATGTGTATTTATGTGTATGTTGTGTATGATGTGTATGTTGTGTGTTTGACTTCACTGTGGACGGCAAAGTAAGAATCTCATTGTACAGGGAGACGTGTTTCCTTACTGTGCACATGACAATAAACAGTTGAATTGAATTGAATTGAATTGAATTGAATTGAATTGTACGGAAAATATAAAAGATCTTCATTTTTAAAGAAAAAAAAAGAATAAAACAAAGGAAAGCAAATGCCAAAGGGTGTGGTGATCAAATCAAGATGAAAATGTATTTTTAAAGGAAATGCTTACCAAATGTTAATTCAAAATGCCTTAAATGTTTATTTTACAATACCTATGGTTTTGTTTCACCAGTTGTTTTGTATTATAGAACTTAATAATTAATGTTTACGAATTCATTTAAACATACGCTTTGTGTTTTAATATGGAAATTATTCATAAATTCACTTTGCCTTTCCTGTAATGTTTATTTCCATAGATATTGTAATAAAGGACTTGTCCGACACTTATGTACCATTTTATGAGAACAATAATTGTACAATAAAAAGTACAGAACAGTATCATAAGAGGTCTTTTCTGTACTATATAAGGTACAACTTTTACAAATACAAAACTATTCCTTAAGGAACATTATTGTACCACCGTGTACCTTTTTTTCCCGAAAGTGTATTATAAACATCAAATTACCTCATAATTTACTCCCAGAGTGTCACGGTGGCACAGTGGGTAGCATGAAGGTTACTTGTGCCGGTTCCAGCTGGGTCTGTTGGTATTTCTGTGTGGAGTTTGCATGTTCTTCCTGTGTTGGCTTGGGTTTCCTTCAGCTCCGGTCCAAAGACATGCGATACAGGTAAATTGGATAAGCTAAATTGTCTGTGTGAATGAAAGAGTGTATGGGTGTTTCCAAGTGTTGGGTTGCAGCTGGAAGGGCATTTGCAGTAAAAAAAAAATGCTGGATAAGTTGGCAGTTCATTCCGCTGTGGCGACCCCTGTTTAATAAAGGGACTAAGTTTACTCTCGCTCATGGTTTATGACTTCTGATCACAAAATACATTTTTTTCATGGCCCCGCACAAATAACATGTTTTTTCTTTAAATATATTAAATCTTAGAAACAAAGATTCTACTTTGGCATTTATGGTTATATGAAGAACATTTTATATCCATGAATCTTGATGAAAAAGGCCTGAACCCTGATGTCTGATCTCAGACACTAATTTTATCATACACTCTCAGAAAAAAAGGTACGGGAGCTGTGACTGGGGGAGTACCTTTTCAAAAGATACATATTTTTCCCCAAAGAGTTTACAGTGCTACCTCAAAGGTGTATATTAGTACCCAAATGTACCTAAAAAGCACCTTTGAGGTACCATTATGGACACTTCAGGTACAAATATACCCCTTTTTTCTGATGTGTATTATACATTTATTAGTATAAATATAGCATTCACTAAAAACAACATGCTGGAAACTTTTTATGAGGAAATCTAGGTTTTGAACCTAATAACCGTGCGTTCTTCTTTTGTGAGGTCTTGAATTTTAACCCATTTTAAGCATTAGAAAGCACCACTATCTAACACTGTTTTAACTCTAGTGTGCTTAAGGGATATGTAATTTACAAATCATTAATGTGAAAAAGAAACAGTGTTATTCACCTAAAAGCAAAAGCACACAATCACACACACACACACACACACACACACACACACAAAAGAAAGAAAAAAACTAATTTTTTTAAAGAAAGAAATGACACAACAAAACTGTACAGCTGAGAGTACAAGAATTGTACAAGAATGTTTTAAAATATAAACATGGCATACAATAATATCCATTATTACCTTATGATTACCACCAAATTACCTTATAATTTACTCTCCTACATGGTTTTAAAACTTTATGAGCACAAAAAAAAAAAATCTTTAAATATATTACACTCTTAAAAAATCACATTTTTATTTATTTATTTTGCATTTTTAAATCTTTATTTGCAATTATGTTCCATGAAGAACCTTTGATATCCATGAATCTTTCACTAAAAGAAAGACTTCTATAGCATCATTTTAACCCCCCTCCCCCCCTCCCCATCATCCTGGCACCTTTATTTTTAAGAAACTACAACATTAAGGTAGATTAAACTCCATTAGCAGCTTTTTTCGTAAGAATTTTTTGAAGCGTTCATGTGTACCATACAGAACTATGTGCTCATTAATGAACTGCCACTAATACAGTTTGATACTGTTAAACACATTCATCTGCTAAAGACTTATCAGTTAATATCACATCCATTGCACCATTCTTGCACTTCCTTTTTTCAGTACCCATGTTAGATATGCTGGTACTGCTTGCATTTAGCATTGAACTTAATATTCTCAATATAAACTGTTCTATGTAGAATAGCCAGTCAATACCATTTTATTTTAAAAAGCATGCTGTGCGTAAAGGAATAACGCTGGAAATAAACGACACAAATGCTAGACTACAGGCTTTGCAAATGTTTTAAAAGTATGAATTGTCATTATTTTCCTTCATTTCAGTTATCCCACGGTGATGATTACACTCCATATGCATGTGGTGCCATGGAAAATCCATTTGCATTGTGGCTTTTAAAACATTTCACATTAGTAGTCTCTTTAAACTGCATTTAAATAGTTCCACATTAAGATAAGAAATATGATGTTGTGTGGTTTTACTTGTTTGGGATGTTAAATGTTCCATTTATGATCATATCGTGAGCAAAAGAAGCCATTTGGGAACAGTAAGACAGATTTGCTATTAATATTTGATATATACTTTATATAGGGATGCATAGAAACAACAGGAAAATATTCACATAGCAAAAAAGACAATAGATGTGTCAACATGTTCCCTTCAAATGAGAAGTTATTTGATTGTGCAGTCACAAAGTAAACACTGTTTGCATTTGTAATCATCTACTCCTACAATACAGTAGCTCAGTAACTTTTTCTAGGAATCATAAGGCAGTCTTACAAGCATTACGCTTCTAAATGCAAACAATGCAGTCTCTTGGTGTAGAGAACTTAAAAATACATTCAGTTCACTCACAATGGCATAATTACAATCGCAAGCATCTCACAACATAACACTGTAAAATACTGTTAGCCACCCATCTGGTGGGAAACTATCATCTTTGTTTTTAGTTCAATTGAATGTGCTGGTGATCCAAGACTTGCATCTGTTTCTCATCTTCAATGGTGAGTAATATCTTTTTGTCTTTTTCACACTTCTAAACGTTCGAGTCTCAAATTAGTCTGTTAGATTACAGAATATGTATAGTGCTCAGCATATGTGAAAACACCCCATTTTATCCATCTCTCAGTGAATATAGGCAATGTATGTTGGTGCATTTAAACAAAACAGATTTCTTAAACAGATATATTTATTACAATAATATTTTAGTCACCAAACATATTTAGAAATCGAAAGATAATACAATTAAATTGAAGCTAAATATTGCAAAAAAAAAAAAATTACCGCCAAATTTCAACTAAATTTTTCCTTTTTTTTTTGCTTCTCTTGATTTTTCCTATTATTTAAATTTGTATTTAATATTTTTCTGTAACATTTAGATTTGTGTGTACTAGTTTTTAGACAGTTATCTAAGTTATTTTGTTAGATAAGCTCCAGATTTGGCTTCAGTACTGACTAATTTAATGTATATGGACTATATACACTGAAAAAAAATTACATTTGATTTTTATTCAAACTACTTATTTAAAATGAGCTAAAACAACACAATTTTGAGTTTTTTTGGGACAACTTAATCCTTTTTTTTTTCAACCAACTTAAATTTGTAAAAACAATTAAGTTAACTAAATCGATTTGTGTTGGGACATGAAGGAATTGTGCAGAACCCAGCCTTTTTTACACTGTAATATTGCATAGCTTCTTCTTAAAAAAATATTAATTTAAAAAATAGATTTTGTGAGGGGTGTACTTATATGCTGAGCACTTTAAACATTACCTAAAAATACTGGAATCACAGCTCAAAACAAATTAGTTATGAAAGCAATAATCTGTCTGCAAAAAAGACAGCCTTTGAATAAATCATTCAGACACTTCAGTATAAATCAGCATTACCTTTAAAATATTTATAAAAAAGAATGACTGACTGTGTGTCTTTTATATCCCAGCCTCTCCATCACAGGCCAGCATGTATCTTCAATGAGTTGAATCTCATCGGCGGCCATGTTCTCTTTCCACATGTTGACTTTGGCTGGTGATATATCTCCTTCATATATCAGATTATACAAATTTGTGGAAGTAGCATATGTCAACTGGTTTAATGCAGCTGGTGCAACTGGTATTCCAAGAAAGTTATGTATCGTTCTTGCCGTCTCTTCGGGAAAACGTACAATGTCCTCGAATTTGACTATAAGGTAAGTCTGTGTGGGGAGGCCTGAGCTCACCTTGAGCCCTGCTGAATTGTGAGCCAGCCATAGCTGAGCCAGTAGTTGTACAGGGTTGGGATCTGGCTGGGAGAGAATCATTTTTAAAGGATGAAACTGTGAATCTAGTGTAGCACAGCCCTGATCCACACCATCTGTGTTCTGCTTAAAAAGGGTGGTGATGTGCCTTTTTATATTCTTACGCAAGTACAGGCTTGGTTTGCTGTTGTACAGCATTAGATAAATCCATGCACGGGGGTCTCTGACCACATGAAGTGAGCGAAGTGAATGACCTATGACCTCTTGAAGATATGGCAGCTTTAGGAACCAGCCGCCAGTGCCCAAGCTCAGCTCCGGTCTTGCGTTTGGGTACTTAACCAGGTGCTGCCTGAGCTCTTGTATGTATACCATGTCTATAGTAACACCCTTCCCTCCTTCAGTCTTTGATCGTTCTGAAAGCAACATTCTTCTCTTTCTTTGTCTTTTCACTTTGACATCATCCCCTGCTTCATCATTGATCTGGTGCAACTGAATATTCTGTAAGTGAAGTTTCACATTGTGGATTATGGAGTGAAACCATCCCTGAACTACTCGAAAGCGTCCATTTTGCGCATCTTCTCTGGACCACTCACAAGCATCAAGCAGGGAGCTGAAAGGAGAAACAGGCAACCGCAGGTAGGCAGAAGGGATCCGGAGGTATAAAAAGTCTGAGCTGTTATCAAAAAGGTGCTGAAGGATCTCTGCTCCCGAGCCTGGCATGGATGTGATTGTGATTACAGGGAGGACATCAGGGATGTTAGAGTCTGATGCATGATATATGCTGCTGTCTTTTGGCTTGTTACACAAGAGCTGTTCGCAGCCATAAAAGACCGACAAGAGTTCAGTCACCCACAAAAACAGCACACAGACAAGAGTGCAATGAATCAGCATGTTGAATGACACATGAAGCTTCCGTTTTTTGATTACAAAAGCTAAAGCAAAACATAAAGTCAGTATTGCTGAGATATTAACCAGAAATCCGAAGTCAAACACAAAATCTTTTGCGACTTGACTTGCCAAGGTTTGGATTCCCCTGCCAAACTGAACTATTCTTTGGTTGTCCTCTGTTTTAGCAAATCCTGCAAATCCCAAGTAGCCCTGTCTGGCCTCAATGTCAGCATAGTTTGTCACAACTGACACAACAGTCTCTGTGTCATTAAGAGTCACTGATATTTTTACTCCGTTTTTACTGTTGTCAATGAATCTGCAGTCTGAGACCTTGACATAAGGGCCATGCATCAAGTAAGCCACCCTTGTGATGGGATTCTCCATGCGAAAGGTCACGTTTATGAACTGTGTCCATCTCTTTTTGAATTCGGCAGCTTGTTCAGCTTCTTGTATCCTGGCAACAGGACTGGATCCTTGCACGTCCAGCCAAAACATTTTGTAATGTGCGTCCCACACATCCATCAAAGCCCCATTGTATTTCCCAAATGATCTGTGAGGAACGTACCTGAAATCAATGTCTAGGTTGTGAAAAAAGGCACTAAAAGAACTGAGAGGAGAGTGCTCGTGTTTTTCGATGTGATCCAGTACAAGCAACGTTTGAGAGTTGAGAAGTACAAGTGACCTATACACACTCTTTAGCTTCATGGCAGATGAATAGGCTGACACAGACTCTCCACTCACAAATAACATGTCCTGATGTGACACAGCAGAGATGACCTCCCCGGCTGTATTGCCGACTTCCTTTTCTCCCCATCGTAGCCACTTTGAACATTCCCCCAACTGTCCTTCCCATGGCTCATTACACTGACTGGTGGGTGAGGGGGCAAATACCAGCACATTATTAAGATAGCTGTACTTAGGTCCATACAAGGCCTCAGAGACAAACACCTGTCCATTTGGTGCAAAAGTGAAGGAGTTTTGATCAGGGTGCTCGTGCCCTGGGTTGAAGTTCATCCAGCCATCTACCCAAGAGTAAGGTTGAGCGTGGACTATATCGTAGACTGCTCGTCCTCCTAATTTTCCAGATTTAAATGAGACAAAGGTATTACCCTGAGCTCGAGTTAACCCTGCTCCATATGTCACCACACCCCAGTTGGAGAAAATATGCATGGCTGCTTTGTTAAAGTCAGACGGAGGCTGCGGAGTTAACTCAGAATTATACCATATGTACTCTGTATGTAAAGTAGCCCAGCGTTGAGCTGCTGATTGCATCATGGGGCCGTCTTTAGGACGATGCTTCCTAATTTGCTCTGCCAGCCAGTTTCCTGAGCCATTCCGGAGCACGTATGCATCCAGAAACACAAGCTGGCTCTCTGGCCCATAGAACCAGTTGTAATTAGAGTCTGCGATGCCAACAGTTCTTTGAAATCCAGGAAGCAGAGTGGCGAAGTAAAACATAAAATGAGCTCTAAGCCAGTTGTTCTGCATGTTGTCTATCTGAAAATGACGCAACGCTAAGTAAACATACTGAGTGATGGATTTTGCCGTGTAGCTACCATACGCAACACCTTCATCAAGAGAGCCATCAACGATGTGACTGAGGAGAAACATGGTCTTTTCCATGTAGTTTACTGATATTTGTTTCCATATCATTGTCTCGGGATCATTATGTTCCCCTGCCACAAGAGCACCAATTAGGATGGCTAGTATGTTAGTTGTCTGGTGGTTCTGCAGAAACTGCTTTCCCCATCCCCTGTGCTTGGAGAGCTCGAAAAGCTCCTCGGTAACAGAACGTATTTTTTTGAGATATCGCAATCTTCTCCGGGTATCAAGAAAGGGGTAAATGAAATCATATGCTGTGGCAAAACCAGTGAGAGAGTGGGCGATCGGAACCTCATCATTTGGAGCACTGGACACCATCCAATCTGGATATTCCACCATTCTGTCCATGTACTCAATCAAAAACTGAGAGGCGGCAGCATCCTCAGGTTGAAGCAGGCAATATAGTGCAAGAGGAGGCAAATTGTTGCCATAAATCTCATTCCATTTCTTGCCGAAATCCTCATGGTTCAATGGAGGCTGGTAAACAGCTGCATTAGATAACATAATAGAAACAGCATTTCGAATCACTTGGAATATGCGTCTATGTGTAGTGCTGGCCCTCTTTTTCATTAAACGCACCTCAGTATGATCAAAGTATAGCTTGGGGTGAAGGTGTTCTGACAATGTGGCATTGTCTCTTTGGTGCTCATTCAGAGACACATATCTGTCTGAGGCAGATGAAATTCCACAGAAAGCAAGTCCCACTGCCAAGACACAAAGCAGAAACGCAGACCTCTGCATGTTCTCCATGATCCAAGAAACAGATGTGGTGCTTTTTCTCTTCGAAAGCTCCTCCTCTGAAGCGCCCAGAAATGTTTTTTATTAGTCCAATTTGAACTCACATGTCGGGCTGCAGATATTTTTCCTTTTCATGCACAAAAAGTGTCAATATAGAAGAATAGGCAGTGAATAGGAACTATTCACAATTCTGTGAGAAAACATGCTTTACATTCCCATATATGGACATCCGTGAAAACTTGATGTACCCACGCAAAACTTCCTCATTTGTTTGAACGCTGTTGTATTTGTTTGAATAGAAATGTCATCAACCTCGCGGATATTTAAAGCATTATTTGAGCTAAGTGACAACGGAAATGTCATAAATGCAGATGTGTTAAATAAACTTCCGTTGTTAGTATCCTGTTTCCCGCGAGTCCTGTGGAGTTTTCCAGAGAAAGTTGCTGCGTTCGTCAGTAACTCTTCACAACACCATGTCACGGTTAGCGCCTTTTACTCAACTTGTGACACGAAAAGCGAGATAATCCATTAATCCACTTTGAGGTGAGGGAAACCGCTTGCTGGGACGATCCTATGTAGTGATGTTTCCTCTTTAAGCATACGACCAAAGACCATAAGCAGAGTTCAGAATGCTTACCGGCCATTTCAATGTCTCTTTGTAGGTTTAATGATAAGGTTTTATCCATCATGTTCATCGTCCGCCACAGAACTGGCTCATCTTCATCAAGACAAATCGTTTTCCTATCTTCCTAGTAATCTAATAGCTTAACTATTGCTTCTGCATTGGTAATTTTTAATGTGGTCAACAGATGGCGTCGTAATATCACATTGAGTGGCTCTATTAGGCAGTATTTTCGCTATTCTTATCACTTGGCTTATAAATAATTAATCAAATGGAATTACTATCTACTATAAAGTAGTTTAATAGGTATGATTTATTGTATTAGAGTCATGTTGACTCTGAAGAAGAGAGTGTGTCCTCTTTCACTTTCAATTGTTTCAATTCAATTCAAAATTGCTTTATTGGCATGACTGTAATTGATACAATGTTGCCAAAGCTTAAAATAGAAGGACAAATATAAAACTACAATAACATATCAAAATAAAAGAATAGAAACAAAATATCATAATGATTTAAAAATTAAATAAACAATGTAAGGAATAAAAATGTGCACATTGTTATTGCAAAATGTAATGCAATGTAATTGCGTTGTGGTACATAGACACCACATTCACACACTCAGTTGAATCAGAATTATTAGACCCTTTTTATTTTTTTATTTATTTTTTTACATTTTCACAGTGTGTCTAATGCTTTATCTTCTGGAGAATTATTTGTTTTATTTCGGCTAGAATAAAATCAGTTTTTAATTAAAAAAAAATTTTAGGGCCAAAATTATTAGCCCCTTTAAGCTAAATTTTTAAAAATAGTCTACAGAATAAACCATCGTTATAGAATAACTTACCTAATTATTCTAACCTGCCTAGTTAACCTAATTAACTTTGTTGGGCATTTAAATGTCACTTTAAGCTGTGTAAAAGTATCTAGAAAAAGTATCTATCTGTGTAAAAGTATCTAGCGGCCAGTGCTGCTGTCTGTCCCTGTCTGTTTCATTTGTTTCTCTTCAGTCATTTTGAGAAAGGTTCTTAATGTAGTTTGTTGAAATATGTGTCTCAGATTGCTTTAAAGTGTTGGCAGTGAAGGAGAAAGTGCACCTCCGTCTCGATCTCACCTGTCCTTATGAACACACACTCTTTGTTCTGTGGGTCTCCAGCTCTTTCTGTGTCTGCCGGTGTCCTGACATTTTAGTCTACCCATCAGATTATGCTACCAACACTGTATTCGAATGGATTTGAGGTTGGAGTTAGGGATTAGGTAGGTTAGGGCGATATTATAGTTCATATCACACTACTCCACATTAAAATTACACTTGTAGCAAAATCTGATCGTTAGCAAGATGCATCATCAAAATTTGCTACCTACTTTTTAAATGGGAGGTACTGTAGGACAATCTGACGAGGACAACACCAGTCCCTATGGCCAGTCTGTGTTCACTGAGCTTGTATTTGGGCAGGATCTGCCTTTGCTTTTTGTTTGTGGATATTCTTTCTATTCATAATTTAATTTGATCATCAGATAGAGTTTCAATTTACTTCGTGTTTTAGTTTCTATGACCATATGTTCCAAATGTGTATTTTTAGATTGTTTGATAATGTGATTTATTTAGATGTTTGTGTGAGAAGCAGTGCTGGTCTGGTACTGGTCAGGGTTCAACCCTTGAAATGCAGCGATTCTGTGGGACTTGATTTTAGATGCATCCTGAATTAGAGAGATCTTTTTTTCTATATTAATAATCAATGAGAATCTGCCTAATTCTGCCCTACATGCAGTTTTGCGTGTTCATTCATTCATTTTATTTTCGGCTAAGTTAATTAATCAGGGGACACCACAGAGGAATGAACCGCCAACTTATCCAGCATGTTTCACGCAGCAGATGCCTTTCCAGCTGCAACCCAACACAAGAAAACACCTGTACACTATGGCCAGTTTATCTAATTCAATTTACCTGTACCGCATGTCTTTGGACTGTGCGGGAAACCGAACACAGAAATGCCAACTGACCCAGCCAGGGCTCGAACCAGCGAAACCTTCTTGTTGTGAGGCGATTGTGCTACCCACTGCGCCACCGTGGCACCCACCATCGGGTGTTCTTCTTTGTAATTTAGGATCATTCTGCAGAATTCGTGTGTGAAGGGCTTTTTATACTTTTTTTTCATACGTTTTTTGAGTATACACATTTGCACATGCTAAAGAGAAAAATGCACACAGATACACACACAGGGAGCTCTAATATAAATTACTTTTGTAAAATGTAACAAATTTAATGATGAACACATCCCATCAAACATATGGTAGGCGATATATTAATTTGATTTGCTTGTTTCATATGATGGATTTTATAAAAATACTGCTTCATCCAAGATATTTCAACTTTATTTGATAAACAAAACAATCACAATATCCTTAATGCAGACTAATAGACAAGTTCATAAAAAAATGAAAACCTTATTACATATTATGATACTGTAAAGATTAACACAATACAAAGTAAACAAACAGTCCATGTTAATCCTCTTTCTTTGCTTCGGAGGTCTTTTCTGTGCTCTCAGGCTGCGATTCTATTGCCTTCTTTCCATGTGTATCCAACGCAGGGCTGGCTGTAGCTTCTTCCTCAGGTTTCTCATCGTCCGCAGGTACAGCAGTACATGTAGCATAGATAACCAATACAACTACACCCACTGGCAGTCCAAGCACAAAACAGGAGAACACCGGTGCTGTCTCGACCATCGACTGGGATCAGGGAGAGTTATGTTAGTTACTAGGACAACAGTGACCTAAATATTAGCCTCAAGTAAATATTTGATGAGGATGTGATCAGCCGTGTGTTTTGGTTTTTGATGTGTTAAGCTTTTTGTAAATATTTGGGGGAAAGTGTAAATCTAGTGTTAGTCAGACTTACCATCACAGTATTCTTCCCCTTATAGAAAATTCTCTTAGCGCACTGCCAAAATCCATTTCCTCCAAGGAGCTGATTAGGGAGAAAAAGGGAATTGCGTTGAGGAAATTAAAAGACAAAACAGACTGAGGAAAGCGTTCTTGTTGCTCATACCGTTGTGCTGCCATCCAGAACACTGTTGAGGAACTGAAGTAAATCCTCAATGGTCTCAGTGCTGCTTTCGGGTATATAGTATCCATCAATGGACATGTTTAGCACAATAATGGAAGGCATCGCAAGTTCCCTGAGAAGATGGAACACATTTGTGGTGATTATATATATATAAAACATGAAATAAAAACGTTGAAATTTGATTTGACTCACCCCATAATTAAACCGTTGACATATTCATTACCATCCACATAACCAAACTGAAAATCACTATAGGTGAAAGGAAAATCAACATTGTCTTTGTTAAGAAATAACTCTTCATGCTGTTTTTGTTCATATAAATGTGCTTCTTACCTTTTATAATGGTCTCTGTATTCTGTAGACACCCTTTCCATCAGAGTTTTGTACCTAAAGAGAGCAATTTAAAGTTTTGGAAAGGAAGTAATGAGAAAAGTACTGCCAATTGTCACAACTCGGAGACTTCTGTGCATATTTTCTAACGTTGTTTACCGAATGCTTTCTTCAGATGGATTTTTCTCATCTACTACTGCCAATGCCACCAGTTTACCTATCAGGGATGTGTAAGAAATGAACAGCGACACAACAAATTATGCATGCACGCAAAGCTCACATAATCACAATCTGTCAAAGCATCATTTTCACACATAAAAACTTGGCAGAAAATCACCATAGCTGTTATGCTTTATCATCAAGTGGCAGAAATATAGCAATCACTCAAATTAGTGTTAAAGTTTGTTAAAATAAATAAATAAATAAATAAATAAATAAATATATATATATATATATATATATATATATATATATATATATATATATATATATATATATATATATATATATATATATATATATATATATATATATATATATATATATGTATGTATGTATGTATGTATGTACACACTCACTGGCCACTTTATTAGGTACACCTGTCTAACTGCTCGTTAATGCAAATCTTTAATCAGCTAATAATATGGCAGCAACTCAATGCGTTTAGGCATGTAGACATGTTTAGGTCTAGACGATCTGCTGCAGTTCAAACTGAGCATCATAATGAGGAAGAAAGGTGATTTAAGTGAGTTTGAACATGGTATGGTTGTTGGTGCCAGAAAGGCTGATCTGATTATTTCAGAAACTGCTGACCTACTGGGATTTTCACGCACAATTATCTCTAAGGTTTACAGAGAATGGACCGAAAAAGAGAAAATATCCAATGAGTGGCAGTTCTGTGAGCGCAAATGACTTGCTAGTGTCAGAGGAGAATGGCCAGACTGGTTAAAGCCATACCTGGCAACATTTCAGTTTTTCCCGGGAGTCTTCTGTTTTGGTCTGTCTCCCGGAAAACTACCGGAATTTCACAACCCCCCCAACCCAATATATATATTGGGTTGGGGGGGTTGTGAAATTCCGGGAGTTTTACAGTGTATATATATATGTGTTTATGTGTGTATATATATATATATATGTGTGTATGTATGTGTATGTATGTTTGTGTGTATAAAGAAAAACAAGCATACTTAGTTCTCCCATCTGGTAAAGACTGTAGCTATCAATTTGGAAGTATGAAAGAAAACGTTCTCGATTTATCCAGGAAGACAGGTCACCGTCAATGAATTCTATGGAAATGATAGAAAGCAGAGAATAAACTTAATACATTGTGTACTTTTAACATATTAAATGTCCTCATCCAGCCTGTGCAATCATTATGCAAAGCACTCAGAAATGTTTAACCTAAAACCTTTAATCGCAAAGACACAAATGATCTTTCATGTTATTATCAAACAAAGTGTTTCTGTTCACTCAGTGTGCATTCAATTATGCAAAATATGTTACTTGCACACAGTCAAGCTGTTGACTCAAAGGGTGTGCATTGGATGATAGCCCAGACGAAATGTTCAGAATAAACCATATGACAGAGGAGAGCTGGAACACTTCACTGCGTCTGACTTCTCATCATTTGATACACAAATGGTAAGAAAATCATCTCTGTATTTATAATGGTCTACGAAAGTATTGTTTCTATATATGCTCAAGACTGCAAAGCACTGGGTAAGTACAGTACTTCTAGCTTTATTTCAGTTAATGTTAGTTAAGTAACTTCAATTCTAGCAATTGACTGTCGTA